TCTTCTTCCAAAAGGCCATTTCCAACACTTGACCACCACAGACACAGAGTTTTACATTGCAATGAAGAAACTTTGTTCTTGTTTCCATATTCACATGTAAGTACAATCTAATCTGAAGTTGGCGTCATTCATTCTTGGACTTATATAGCTAAATATACTGGTCTTTTATGTAAGCTCTGAACTGGTCTTGCATTTGCCTCAAATCCCTGTTTTTTAAATAATTAAAAAAAAACAAGAAAATTAACAAATCAAAACCTAAATGAGATTTACTCATAATTTGCTTTGCATTTAAAAGTACATTGTCAGTGTGTGTATGAAGGGGCTGTGTACAATAGACCTTTGTGGTCCGGCCCTTCCCCGGACCACGCGCATGCGGGAGCTTAATGTACCGGCTGCCTTTTTTGTTAGTGTGTGTATATAAGCCGTAACACGTAAATACATTATCAACAAACACATTCTATCTCTCAACTTATGGAAAACGGTAAATCCGTAATATACGAAAAGTTTTCAAGATTTATAGATGTGGAATAAAATTTGTTGAAGTTAGGACGATTAAATGAGAAGTAATACTTACATCATGAACAGCACTTCTATATGCCATCAATTGTTCCATAGAAACAGTCCTTGCCTACATTAGCCAATAAAGAAGAAATAAGATACTAACGGAGTAATTAATTTAGAATTTCATGTATTATAAATATGCAGTTAGGAATAATCCAAATATAAAAACTTTTGAGAAGATCAAAATTTATAAATGGATACCTTGTGGAGTACAGTCCAAGTGATACCCTCAGTGCAAGGAGGAACAGTGAGTGAACCAATGTATCGATAGAAAGGTTCATCGCCAATCCCAAGTTGTTGAGGATCAACCATTCCCAACTTCAGACCCTTATCATCAACTGTCTCAATGTTACGCATTAACTGATAGAAAAGAAAAATATGACAAAGCGTAAATTTTACTGGCGTTTCTTGAAACATAAAGAAAAAGAAAAGGATTTGTTATGAGAATGTCTGCAGCACTTTTAAACATATACTCGTCTAAAAATATATTACGTACGTACTAAAGTTTTTCGAAACAATCTCTCTATCCTCACAAGGTAGGGTCTGCGGGCGGATCCACGATTTAAATCTTATGGGTTCAATTTTAAGGTTTTTAACATTGAACCCATTATATTTTTAAAGAGCCCGTTTGGCTTAGCTAATTTAGAGTAGCTGATAAGCATTAGGTGCTGAAAGCACTTTTAAGTGCTGAAGCTGATTTAAAAAATAAGCAGTTATGTGTTTGGATAAAAGTGGTGAAATTAATAATAAGCAGCTGAAGAACTGGGTATAAGAAGACTTTTGTTCTAAAAAGAAGTATTTTAGGGATAGAATAGTAAATATTTTTGGTCAAACCTAAAGTGCTTATAAGCTAAAATTTGATAAGTTGAGGGAGACCAACTTATGGCTTTTGGCTTATTTTTGGCTTATAAGCACTTAACTTATAATCACTTTTAATTTTACCAAACGCGTAGATAAGCCAAAAAGTGCTTATAAGCCAGTTTGACCAGCTTATAAGCTTAGCCAAACACCCTCAAAGTTATGAGTTCATATCTTACTATTTTTGCAATTTTAATGAATTTTTATGTATAAAATTTTTTTCTGCGTCGAAAGTTATGGGTTCAATTGAACCCGTAGGTAGTACACTACATCCGCTTCTGGTACACACTACCTTCCCCAGGCCCCACAGTATTGGATAATACTGGGTATGTTGTTGTTGTAATAGTGAAACGAATTTAAAGAATTTTAAAATGGGGAGATGTGAAATAGAAGGAACAAAGAGAAGATCGAATACATATTAAAATGGTTTGGATCATCACCTCCTCAAAGAAAGGGTTAGGGCTTCCAATTTTGAAAGGTATTGCAACCACAGCTATTTTCCCATCAGCACTCTGATGAACCATGTGTGCCTCCATTGCAAAGCTGCAAATATTAATATCGTAACGTACGTTTTTAAAGTTTTGGCACACTCATTAAGAAAATTATATATTTTCTCGTTAAAGATTATTCAGAGTAGATTTTGACAAAAATCATTAATGCCCTCTTATCTTGAACTTGACTAAAAAAATGTTAGACCAAATGGAATTGATAATGAGACAAACCATTTATTATTAAGTTTGTGCTCAGAAGGAGTATGCCAGTGACATTGCTGTAATTTATACTCAGTACCACCAACACTAATATATCCTGCATCTCCTTCCCATTGCAACTGCCAAAATTAATATATAGTTGGATTGTATAATTACAGGTAAATCTCTATTAAATTAAATAAAAAGAAAACTAATTTACATGGTCAATGTATATATATACCTTGATATCATGACCTCTGTTAATGATAATAGCAGGTGCTATTTTGTAGTTTGGTTTCAAATGTTGAAGAGCAGTGGTAACCGTCACAGTTTTGTTACGGATATTAACTGGAGACTGAAATTTGCCGGTAGTACATAGTTTCCATTCTGCTTTAAGATTACCCCAATTCTCTGGTCCTTCGTTTGTTCCCAACAGGTAAGTGAATTTTGACTCATCATCTGGTGTTTGACACACAAAAGAAAAAAAAATAATTATATATATATATATATATATATATACACACAAGAATCGGAGAAGAAGAAGAAATAAATATCGTTGCAGAATGAAAGAAAAACGCTTTTTATTTTGTTTCTCTTGTTTAACATAATCTAGCCACCTTAGTATGTCCTTTTTATTGAAAAGAAAAATTTATGTCACCTAGTAAATGAATATCAACGAGAAGGAAAATGTTCGAGCTTTTCATCTGATCATTTCCACCGGCGGCGAAGCCAAGAATTCAATCTCAGAGACAAACCTTCATTAGTCCTATACTTCTATTGCGAACAATAGGTTATTTTTTTTTTTTTCATCTATACCAATACTTGTACGGGTGAAAGGTAGCAGATATCCCGTAAATTTAATAATGCAAATTGACCCGATCTAATATCGATCGCCGTTATAAACATACATATAAAATATAGTATATTGATAAAACAAAACCAAATAGAGTGAAGGTGAAAAAGTAAATATGAGAAAGGGATTAATGAAAGTTAATTTATACCAACTTCATTATCATCATGAGCACTGCAAAAGGTCTGTGATGAAAGAAACAGAAAGGCAAACACAAGTGGGACGAAACTTGGCTTGGCCATGATTTTATTTACGGTTGCACTAGGTTTCTCAGCCACTACGTGGCGGCGGTTCCCGGTGGCAATGGTGTTGCTGGAGGCCCTTTTTAAAATTAAAAAAACAAAAAACAAAAAAGTTTTTATTAGTGTTAATATACAAAAGGTGCCAGCTTTCCAACAAGCCAGCAGCTAAAAAATTAAAATGGAGGAAAAAAATTGAAGTTTATATAGAAGATTGGTGCGTTATTAATTAAAGACCTCTAGATTTGAGGGGTTATGAGGAACTAAAACAGCGAATGAAACGGGGATGCAGTGAATTACAATAGTAGAAAATAGAAGACCTCTAAATTTTCAATACTAACGCTTCACCACTGGATAATATTTATTTATTCAGTTACACAATTAAATGCTTTGCTAGTATTAGTAAGCATGCAGAAAAATATATCTTTTTACCAAGAGAAATCTTACCTCCCTGTTGCAAGATTCTCTGATTATTTTGATGCCCAATTACACAATTTTTCAGGAATAGAATGTGATCAGAATCAAACTATAGTATATCGTAACCAAAAATAGTATAGTAACAGAGATATTTCAAAAGCAACTAAGTAATAATTAATTGTAGAATTATATTTAAATATAACTGTTAATATTATTATGTACTTATAATTTATATGTAAACTTACAAGAGGAAAATATTAAATCACTAACGAAAATAAATATAAAGCATAGAGAAGGTGGGAAATATTATCATATTTTTTCATTATTAATAACCAATTTTTATCATAGAAAGTGTTAAAATCAGTTCTAAAATTAAATACGGTCAATCAAAAGAAATTTTGATTTATTATCAAAAATTTTGTACTTAAGAATGCGAGAATTATCATGATAACCAAGAAGGAGGAAAGTTATAATCGTGGTATACCAAATTAACCTGTAAGAGAAATTTATTGTTGTTGAAACGCTGCCAACTTACCAATATTAAAATGAAGCATGAATGACTAATTTTTCAAAGTACATGGACAAATATGAAATTTTCCCTTCTTTTTTTTCACGTGTCTCCCTTTTGTGGCAAGTTAAAATGGTTGTCATACATAAAATATATGTCAGCTGGTGCTCTGCTAAAAATGCTCATATAGGAAACGATGAAATTGTTTTTAAAACGAACTTTTAATGGAAGGTATGAATAACTAATTTCTCAATGTCCAGGGGCAAAGTGTGGACTTCTTCCCTAGAATATAGGGGGGAAATCAGAAATAGCACTGATAATTGAAAAATAACCACCGTTTCAAAAGAAATTGAAATTTAGCACTTTTTCATGTAAAGATAAAATTTGAACAAGAACACCCTTAAAAATCCAAAAAAAAAAAATCAGCATAATATGCTAGCATTCGAATGTTTTTTATACCAGCATAATGTGCTGGAGTTCGAAAATAATAGGCTGGAAGTTTATACGCAAGAACTCCATAATCCATCATATTATGCTGGAACTTTTCATGTAATATGCTGGATGCTAGAGTTCCAACATAATATGCTGCAAGTTTATATGCAGGAACTCTGTAATCAAGCATAACTTTCGTGTTTCAGCAAAAGAATGGCTATTTTTCAATGACTTTGTAAATGATGACTATTTTTAAATCATCAATCCGAAAATTGTTTTCACTAGAACATAATCTAGTTCATCAATAGCAGAAAACTAAAATGTAAAGCAGAATTGAACTTGTGGAAGCATTAATTTTCTACATTCTTTCTCATTTTTAGGGACAATTTATTTTCCTCATCTTCTACCAAAAGATAAAATCAACTTTTCAAAAATGAACCTGCCAATAGAGAAACTTAGTACATTAACAAAGATAAATCCAAGACAACAAACTATATAACAGAAACAGGCAGAAAAAAATTGCAAAGACATCGTCTATTCTATGCTATAATGCTAAGTACTTAAAATGATCCATACATGATAATTTGTATTAATCAATCTATCATAACATTTAATGTGCCACCAGCAAGTTGCTAACGAACAAACTCCCATGAAACTTTGCAAAATCATTACACATTCCAAGAATAATATTATCAAAACTTTGCTCATTTGCCAACATGTAACTTGCGCAAATTAATGGATTTGCTCACTGTAAAACCGCCCACGCGTATGATGAATATTCAATATATTTCTACGAATTAGCGCAACTAAGATGTCACTGAAGCAGATGCCTTCAACTTCTTGGGTGGTGGATTACCCCCAGACAGTATCACATAGGAGTAGAAGCAGAACATTGCAGCACTGCAAATTGAGCAATAAATTAAAGATAATATTTGCATGGTTGCACCTGGTAACGAATACTCGAGAAGAGAAGCAAGAAAAGAAGACGTTGCAGTACCTGATGGCAGCGGAAAAGCCAGTAGGGAACAATTTTCCCGTCTGCACCACACAAAAAAAAGACCACCATTTTTATTAGACAATGTAAACCTTGCAATAAAGTTATTAGAAGACTTTGACATTATGGAGAATACCAGTGAGAAGGTCTGCATATTTTTCCACAGAAGGGCCGCAGCAAGTACTGCAGGACAACAAAAAGGGAATGACGAATTAGGAAAGGAACATACATTCTGCAATTTAGTTTAGCAGGTAAGGAACCAGACAATAGGGAGTTCATTAAAAGCTTCAACTCTAACTAGAAGATGTGTAAGATTGTATAGAAATGATGCATAAAGTGAATCTAAAAACTATATTTCTTTTCAATTAGTAGCAGCATATCTACGATAGGTTAAATCACAGATAACTGCAGATTAAACTTTTCATTGAGGAGAAATATTTTACTTGCAGCCATATAGGTTGAAATTTCACATTACGCCCTTGTTATTTGGGTGTCTCACAGAGAAGAATAGTAGCTCACTAAGAATCGTATAGCAATAACAAGAACTTTGAATGCAGTGCCTTGAATTAATGTGTTATATTGAGCTCTTCATGAAATATGAGAAACTGCATGCTTAATAAAGTTAGAAATTAGCTTTGCTTGTGATTCCACAATAGAAGTAGATATTGAAAATGTTATACTAGGCTGGAAGTATTGATGTCAACAACAACCACCTCAAAATTGGTCACATCGACATGGCAATCCACGACCAATAATAATTCAAAGGCACAGCATTGTCCTTCTCCCTGAGTCAGCAAATATCATACACTACCACAATCCTATTGAGAATTTGTTTTACATTGTTCAGGTGATATAGCGACTAGGTATTTCTGAAGCTTTAAAAAGCCATAAGCTTTACAATAAAAAAAATAATGAAGCGTAATGTTGGAAATCAGATATTGCCACATTAACAAGGCCATAATCTATTAGCACTGCAGAATGGCACTAAAATGTGCAGTCAAAATTAAGTAACATTGAACTATTCATTTCAGTCAAGCCAGGTTGGAACATGAAAATGAATATTTTAACATTCGTTAAGTTAAAAGGTTCACAGTAACACATAATCAGATGATTTTTCAGAAGTAAGCTATTTTATCAAAGATCTAAGAAGATGTCATCTTCCTTCTCTTTCTCTCTCCCTTTTCAGCCATCTCTCCAGACCCCCCCCCCCCCCCCACAAAATAAACCCACCTACACACAAAAAAAAAAAATGAATATCTGTTTGCTCCAACAATTGTGGAGACAGCTCTTTGGATTGTTTGGGGAACTCACATCTTTCTTTCCCTCCTTTACCCTTTTCATTTTAGCATGAAGAATATCCTTATGGACCTCACTCTAGTTATATCAGGAGGCAGCTGTAGTTACAACAACAAACCCAGTGGAGACCCACTAATGGGGTCTGGGGAAGGTAGTGTGTTACCCCTACCCTTGGGAGGTAGAGAGGTTGTTTCCGATAGACCCTCGGCAGGAGGCAGCTGTGGTTGAAGTTGTTAAATATAAGACTTGAGCGAAAAATAGAAATTAACCATGGGAACTGAGCTCAATGATGATTTAGGTTCATAGGGTAATTAGGCTATGGATGCCTAAGTTAGTGGCATCAATAAACGCGTCTATGATCACATATAATGCTAAACCTATGATCACATAGACACATATAAAAGAGATTACACTTGAAGAGAGCGTCCCCTGATCACCACCAATAACAAGGTGAAGCCCATCCAATAGCCACAACTAGATGAGGCAGAAAAACAAATTAGCAAATAACTGATAGAAAACCAGAAAATACCTGCTTGACCCAGTATGAATGGAAAGCTAGTTTTCCCCTGTCTCCAGACCTTCATGCTAATGGTGCTGAGGGCCAATAACGCACCTCCAAAAAGAACACCACTGCTTAATGTGGCTGGATTTCTTGAGAAAATAAAACCAATAAGTCCCCCCGTGAAAACAAGACCACCTGTGATGCAAGTCAATAAGTTGTTGACAATAAATTGAGTAGTGCAAGACACTGAAACATCTTTCTTACTGTAACAACAAAGATTAAGATAGATCCAGAGGATATGCGACTTGAATGTGATTTCTCTGAGAATAACAGAAGAGATCATGAAACTGCCAAAGCATTGTACTTTATGCCTAGTGCTTTTATAGACACCATCTACAATACAGTAGTTTAATGTAGTCTGCTGACATTACAATAGAACATTGATACACTTTCCTATAGATGCGCCTGCATTTCAGAGCACCCACTCAAGGTAATGGATATACATATGTACCAAGTTTATTACGTATGTCCCCACATGGGCGTATCCAGAGAAGTGCCACACACACGTGTGAGGTACATGTTCCAGAAATTTAGAACTAGGGTGGAACATGAATAGTGCATTGGACTTCTGGTAATAAAGTGACTTCATGGGTTGTGTTTCTCAAGACTTGCTCAACTTTTTAAAACATCTAAACTGGCTGAATTCACCAGTGGAAAAGGGATTAACTTGAAAAGAATTGCAAGATGTAGCAAAGAGAAAAAGTACACTTGTTTGTACCACTATAAGCATCATGAAGAAAAGTATGAAAAATGGAATGCCTTAAATACAGAAGTATCATATGTTCCTTAGCCTCCTCAGAGCATGAGTTAATACTCACCGAAGGGAATTCCTAAACAAAAATCATGAATTTTTGCAGCCTTTTTTGGCTGGCTGCTGGAGTTTTCTTGCACCGACTCATTCATTTCTTTCCTAGTAACATATTCTTCTGGTGCAGAATATGAGTTTGATGAAGTTCCATTAAGTGATTTTGATGAATCTGTTGCATAACTTAAAGTATTCCTGCTCTCTAAATTGGATTCGTCCGTGCCATGCCCATCATTATTCATAGCAATTACCTGAAATCCATGGCAAGTGAAGTTTGTCTAAGTGAAGGAATACAGATTCAACATGGAGAGTCACTCACTCTACAGACTGAATGTCAGCCATCATACAAAAAGTCAAACCGAAGGAGCATTTAGCCTTATATCAGAATTCAGAAAGGAAAAAACATTTATTATTGAAGTCATATCCGTACTATCAGCAAAATTATCCACTCTGAATTTGCTTGAAAGAAACATAGAAAGAAAATGAGTGAGAAGGAAGGTTGAAAAAACAACTTAGAGAAGGTGTAGCGGCTGAAATCAGAATAATAATATACTACAATCAAGTATAAGAAAACATCATGGAAAGTTTGAGGATTCACTTAGCAAATTCGAAAACCAAAGCTCCCAAAAGTCCATTCTGGTCGTATATTATATGCTTGTTTTACAAAGAATAATCCATACATATTTCAGGTTCCATCTTTCATCTGTTTATGAGCAAAATCATACTTAGAAAGCGCAAGTATGTGCCAATCTTCGGCCTAAAAATAATGATCACATTAAAAGTAAGTAATTTTATTGGACAAAACATGTCCAATCAAACCAGTTGGGACTTGAGGTTAGCTAAACGAATCCTCTCCAACCATTCCTCTTTATTAGTGGTGCATTTTATCATAACATATGATTGGTGAATACACCATATAAGTTCATCAAGAGACATTACTTAAGGAGATGGTCCAAAATTTCTTAAAATTCTTTACTCTTCCCGGCATTAACTTTCAAATAGTCAGAGGCAGATTCAAGATATTAATGGTACATCATCACACCCTTTTGAGACACAGGTGCCAACTAAAACAAATATCTACTAAAAAATCAACATTATATATACCTCGAGCTTAAGGAGGCGGATGCAAGCCCCCTGCAAACAGTAACTAAAGCAACATTCAGCAGGAAAAAAAACATTATTTTTGCAATAACCCTAAAAGAAATTATGGGGAAAAACATGTCTTGGCAATAACAATGGATAAATAAAATTCTGGGTATTCATAAAAATAATTTCTTGAGGGGAAAAAAGTAAAAAGATTGTACCTTGAAGGAAAGAGGAGAACATGGATGCAGTGGTCGAGTGTGAAACTGTACCACTAATCTGCGATTGATTGGAGAGAAGCAAGAAAGCTGAGAGATCGCCAAAGACATGGCTGCTTATGTTTGGATGTTGATTCTTGATTTGGTTCCAATTGCTCAGTTTACACAATAAACAAAAAAGTGTTTTGAGTTTGGGGAAGTCAATGAATTTAGGTGCCAACAATTAACAACTTTGATTTGACTGAGGCTTCAGCTTTTGTATTTGACCATTAACCAGTAGATTCTAATGATGAAAATTCGACAGAAATCAAATTAGGGGAAATGTTGAAAACTCAAACAATTCCCTTTATTCAGATCTGTCTTTGCCTAATTAAATTTGCTCAGTAAGTCCGGGGTTAAGAAATAAAAGTAGGGAAAATCTTTTTGTATTACTTAATTTTGATTAATAATATTTATTTTTTTTATCAATTCATTACATAATCATGCTAAATTTATGTGGTTGTTATATTTAAGAAAATCATTAAAAAGAAAATATTTAACTATAACTTACATTTGGAGTTGCAATTTTAGAAATTTCTTACTATTTTTGGTCTATTAGGTGATGCTATTATTGATACATTCGTGTTTTTGGTTAAGTCTTTTCTTTTTACGATTTTTTATTAAATTTAAATCAAAATTTATTAAATTTTGACAAAGATAAGAAAATACTTATGATAAAACTTAAACAATTAAAATTGCTTGTGAAAATATCACGGGCTAGCCAGTATTAGGACTGGTAATTGAAAAATAGCTCGTGTTTGCAAAGTTATTAAAAAATAGCCATTATTTTGTTGCAACACAGAAAGTTGTAGTATAATATACTGAAGATTGGTATACCTGTGTATGAACTTCCATCATAATTACAACACACGGAAAGTTCTAGCATAATATACTAAAAATTGGAGCACTTGTGTATGAACTTCCAACATATTATGCTGGACCAGTATATTATGCTAGAACTCTAATATATTGTGCTGAAACTCCAGTATATTATGCTGGAATATTTTTCGAATTTTGAACAGTGTTTTCGTTTAGATTTATCTTTACATGAAAAGTGGCTAAATTTCGATTACTTTTGAAACTGTGGCTATTTTTCAATTACCGCTTGTACATCTAGCTATTTTAGAGTTTCACCCAAATTGCTCGGGTGTATATTTAGAGCTTGTTTGGATGGTTATTACCTATAAATTTGTATTGTATTGTTACTTTAAATACATTGTTTGTTTGATTGTTATTTAAATTTTATTGTAATGTATCGTAAATCAATTGTTACGTAATGACGAAAAGTGACACTTTAAGAACGACGAATTTGGTGTGGTGGCGTCGTTTCCTTGCTATTTTCTCTCATCTTGCCACTCCTTATTATTAAATAATCATATTTTTATCCTTTACCCTACTTTTTAATATAATAATTCTACTCCGTATCTTATTTTTTCTTAGTAATGTTGCTGGTTTATTCTTCATATAAATGATCTTGTCACGACCCAATTTAGGATCGTGACCGGCGCTTAGGAGCAAGTGCCCCCAAGTAAGCCTCATCGGTATTTTACAGAAAATCGGCCAGAATTTCCACTGTTTTTGGACCATCCCAAAATTTTTCCTGTCTCAAATTCAGCAATCAAACATCCTAATAGCAATTCAAATGACAATGATTTTATCCATTAACCAAAATAAGTAGCTACCTTTAACAGTCCATCCACTAACAACTAGGAATACCACTTTATCTCCAAAGTTTTATAAGAATGAGCGTTACTCAACATAAGTCTATAATAACAAAGACTACTCAAGACACTAAAAGAATGACCATGGAGCGACTATAAGAGTTCAAAGAAAGACCATAACAATAAATAAAATCTCCGCCCACGCGAACAAGTGCGAGGCTCACCATGAACTATCAACCTGTGCGCTCTAATTAACGGAATCCTCGCCTGCGTCAACTGCTGTCTCTGTAAAAAAATTGCAGGGAATGAGTCGCTAGCTCAATGAGTAATAACACTTAACCACAACAGTTTTTATTTGGGGACAAGTAAGAAACATGCTAGTATCTCAAGGAGAAAATACATAAAAATGCCCTTTCAGAAACAATAAATAATTTTCAGTCTCATCATGCTTTTCTTGTAGTAAAATATAATTAACAATTCAATAATAAGCTCGGTAACCACTGTATAATATCAGTATTCACATTTTGGGAGGTTTCAATGAACGGATCATGTAATCGGTATAACTGTGGATTTCTTTGCAAGAAGTCATATATATCGGTAGTCCCTACTCGAGGGAAATCGGTAACGGTATGCTAGTTCTACCTTCCCACTAGCGAGGGCTATAACTGTACTCTGTAATCGGTAAATACAAGGTGCACCAGGTCTAACGAACCCGCCGTTATCTACGGGATCCTTCAATGTCTACTCTCATTTATACTTGTCTCTGTAATCCGTATATACTCGTAGAGAATATTTTAAAATAATATAGGGCATTTTGGTTTTTATCAAATCATGTAATTTCATTTCAGTAACGGTAAATCTTATCTCAAGTAAGAGTAAAACGTATTCAGTAACAATGAGAATATTCAGAATAACTGTAATCGTCTAAAATAAATATAGTAGTATCATATCGAGTAAAGGACTTGTCCCGCATGCAGATTCAAATCAGTCGATAACTTACTCATATTAAAATCATATGTAAATCATGCTAGTTGTAGAAATACAAATTGAGGTAAGGTTACTACTCACCGTACTCGTGCCGAAATACCAAAAGCTTCACCTCGAGCAATTCGTACCAATTCCTCCAATCAATCTATAATTACATATTATCCATCTCATATAAATTTCCTTGTTTGGGCTAATTCTTAGCTAATTTAGAATTCCCAACCCTCGGGGTTTCATGTTTGACTCAAAATTCCCAATCTGCCCACGCTATGAGTAATTAGTAATCTATCAACTTCAACTTGTTCATATAATTTATCTATCTAATTTTATAAAGTTCTATGGATTTTTCACAAAGAAAAATTCTTAAATACGTGAATGAACTAAAACCAGTAGCATTACTTGTCTATACTTATCCATAATATTCTTACTAATGTGAAAATTTTCTTTTTCTTGTGAAATCCTTCAATCATAGAAACGAAATTAAAATTTGCTAGAAGAACTCAAATAAGAAGTTTAAGTATTACCCGTGAGAATCCCGTGAGAATCAGTTAATGCTCAAAATTTTCGCAACTGCTATTGCTATGGTTCCAACGCACAGCTTCAGCTTTTTCTTTTTCTTTTTCTTTTTTTGGTTTTTTCTTCTCTCTTTGCCTTCTTCCTTTGTATTTACTTTGTTATAACTTTTGTTTCTGCTGAGGCATAAGGGACGGCCAAATCCCTATTGTTTAGAACCTGATGCCCTTTTATTTAAGGGCTACGGCCCACCAAGGTTTTCTCATTTTCTTTTTTTTTTTTTTTTGTTAAATAACTCATATGTCCTTGTTTGAAATTTATGGCTATTACATCCTCCTCACCTTATAAAATTTCGTCCCCGAATTTAACTCAAGTACGTACCTGTAGACTGAAACAAATGGGGGTACTTGACTCGCATAGTGTCTTCTATTTCCCAAGTAGCTTCTTCAACTGTATGATTTCTCCATAAGACTTTCACGAACACGATTTCTTTTGACCGTAGTTTTCTTATTTGTCTATCAACAATAGCCATTGGCTCCTCCTCGTAAGACAACCTCTCATCGAGTAGTATAGTTGGTGCTTCAATCACCTGTGATGAGTCTGATATACATTTTCTTAGCATTGAGACATGAAACACTGGGTGAATAAAGGACAACTCAGGAGGAAGTGCCAAATGATAAGCCACCACTCTCACTCGGTCTAGTATCTCATACGGTCCTATAAACCTGGGGCTCAACTTGCCTCTTTTCCCTAACCGCATTACACCTTTCATAGGGGAGACTCGTAGGAACACTTTGTCTCCAATTGTGAACACTAAATCTTTTTTCTCTTATCAGCATAAGACTTTTGTCTGCTTTGAGCTGCAAGAATCTCTGTCTGATCAACTGGACCTTGTCCATAGCTTCTTGTACTAGGTCGGGTCCCAATAAGTTAGTCTCATCAGCTTCAAACCATCAGATAGGAGAACGACATATTCTACCATACAATGCTTCGTACGGTGCCATTTGAATACTGGACTGGAAGCTTTGTTGTAAGCAAATTCAGCTAAAGGTAGGTAAGTGTCCCAACTACCTCCAAACTCAAGAATGCAAGCTCTCAACATATCCTCCAAGATATGTATAGTACGTTCAAACTGCCTGTCTGTCTGTGGATGAAATGCAGTACTAAGATCTACTCGTGTACCCAATGCTTCTTGAAAAGATTTCCAAAAGCGTGAGGTAAATTGTGATCCTCTATCAGAGATGATGGATATTGGAACTCCGTGAAGCCGGACAATTTCATTTATAAATATATGTGCATACCTCACTCCACCATATGTAGTCTTTACTGGCAAAAAGTGTGCTGATTTCGTCGATCTACAATCACCCATACAGAGTCATAACCTCTAAGAGTTCGTGGTAGACCGGTGACAAAATCTATAGTAATTCTTTCCCATTTCCACTCTGAAATCTCAATTTGTTGTAGTAGTCATGCGGGTCGCTGATGCTCAGCCTTGACCTGCTGACAAGTCAAACAACTAGAAATAAAATTAGCAACATCTTTCTTCGTACCTAAAATTGCTTCAGCTCATGATACATTTTTGTGGACCCAGAATGCATAGTATATTTAGAGTTGTGGCGGGACTTAAGAGCACTTCAGCTGCTAAAGCGCCAAAATAGAAGCGGCACAAATGCTCTACTGAACAAACCATGGTGCCTCATTCACTTCAATTTCTTCGTTTAATTCCCTCCTCCATTCGCCGCCTTTCCATTTTTCCCTACAAACCCCAGGTAATTTTATTCTCTCTTTACATATACACAATTAAAAATATGGGTATTTGTTCCTTGAACTTAGAATTCAGTCATAAGTATAGTTGTTATCTTGTCAGTCTTATTTTTTCTTTTTGGTATATGTTTTCTGCTTATTATGTGTCTTTTTTTGGGGGTTAATTATTTATCAGAATGGAATTGCTTGGACAAGGATGCTGAGCACTGATGCATCTTGGGCAGGTAATAAAGGCCATCTTTTCTTGTTTAGTTTTATTTTTGTTTTTCTGAAGTTCAATCTTTTTCAATTAACATAAAAAAGTTCAAATCTTTTTTTTGGGGGGTTGGGGGGTTGGGGTTGGGGGGGGGGTTGGGGGTCGTACCGTCCGTTTACTTTCTTGACTAGCCCATCTTTGTCTCAGTAGAGTGTTTCAGTGGCACG